ATAGGACCCTTGTAATTAATTAAAGCAACGTAAACCAAGTCCAAATTTTGTTATTAAAACAACTGTAATCGCTGTAAAACATTGGAATTAATTAAAGCATTGTAAACCAAGTCCAAATTTTGTTATTGAAACAAATGTATTCGTCTGTGCTGAATATAATTGAAGTATCTCAATATCTTATGCTTCCCATCAACACTCTGACATATATCATCAAGGATGCACTTCTCAAACCCGATGAGGATCAAGTTCGCCAGTCTTTCATGAGACATCGATTGACGGAGGTCTGTAAGCACATTTGTCAGAGCAGAAAAAACTCTTTCACATGTTGCAGTTGAGGATCCAATTGTTAATGCTGCTTCATACAGTTCTGTAATGGCTGGAAAGCCCTTCGATTTCAAATGGAAAAGCTGTTGCAAAACAGACAAAAGGTTATGTTTGTCGTTTTTCCTCCAGTGGTCACTGATATATTTTTGGCAACATCAATTTGAGCCAAAACAAAGCTGTCCATTTCAAGGCCGATCAAGTCTGCGAGAAATCCCATTCGGTCTTTGTCAAAGAAATGTTCTGATTCGGGATATAGTGACTCCATGGCACAAATAAGATGCGATTTTTTTTCCGAGAAACGTTCATCAAGCTCAAACAGGATACTGTCAATTAGACAGAACCACGATCGTTTGAGGTTATCATTTTCTGATAAATTGGTGTTATCTCTGTGCAGATGGTCAACAATGTAGTCTTTGAAACCAGAGTTTTCACGACGTCTTCTCCTTTCTTTAGGCTGATGGTCTTGTACTGTTACACTGTTATCATCACCTGCAGTATTTTGCAGAATTAGCTTAACTTCATCTAGCAAAGTGATAAATGTTTCATCGGTTCTCAACAAAGCAATGGATGCTCGCGAAGATGATATCAGCATCAAGGCCTGCATCAGATTGATACTGACTGATTGTAGATGAATGTTGACAGGAGTTAGTATACTCAATGCTTTGTGGATAGCTACAACACGGAACAGAAAGGGTTTCTTTTTGATCAGCTTCAACAATCCGATTATCTCCACCACTAATTCAGGTACGAATGTGTTATTCTCATTTGTGGCAATGTCTGACAGAATCGTCAAGATAGCTTTATATGATCCAGTTATGACTTTCACAGTAGCTAGGTGGCCAGTCCACCGGTGTTCCAACAGTCGCTTCAGTGCTTGCCCAGTGTAGTGAACAGACACAGTTGGCTTATGTATGAAGTTGTACAGGATGTTGCAAGTGCCAAAAAAGGCGTCCACGTTAACATCTGCAGCCGAAATCGTATGCACAACTACAAGGTGTAGCTGGTGGTTTAGGAAATGCACGTAGGGGACAGATTGGCACAGTCTTTCCTGGAGAAGTTTTTGAACACCCCCAGATCGTCCTGACATCCCACTAGCTCCATCATAGCATTGGCTAAGAACGTTTTCCAAACTGCAGCTATGCTCTTGAAGTATTGCTATGATGGAGACAATCAAGGAATGTGCGTCAAAACTGGAAACTTGAATAACTGCAAGTAGATGTTCAACAATATTTCCGTCTTGCAAGTACCTCACACATAAGTACAGATTTTCACGGTTGCACTTATCGCGAGTTTCATCCACCTTTATTGTATACTTCTTATCACCAACTTCATTTCGGATTCTTTGCTGGATAGTTTTTGCGAGTAGACCGAGAATTTGATTATGGATTTCAGGTGACGTATACTTTGCGTTGCGTGGAATTGAGCTGTGAATTTCTTCCAGTTTTTTATCTCTGCTGATGGCAAAGTTGAACACGGTCTGAAAAAATCCGTCCTCCATACCAAGTTCACTGATAGAGTTGCCCCTTAAGGCGCTTTTCTTCCCAGCTAGAATCTGTATGATCTCGATAATTGTCCACAGATAGTAGTGATGAAACTCTAGCTAAGCATCACTGAGAA